CCCCTATCCCAGCACCATCCCTGTTCTGTTCCTCAGGGTCCCCCCTGTACCCTCCATCCCTGTCCCCAGCTCCAGCCCTGTCCTGCTCCTCAGGGCCCCCCCTGTCCTTTGTCCCCAGCTCCATCCCTGTCCTGCTCCTCAGGGTCCCCCCTGTTCATTCCATCCCTATCCCCTGTCCCCAACCCAATCCTTGTCATTCTCCTCACTGTCCCCCCTCTCTCCTCCACGGCTGCTCCACCCTTGTCCCCCGTCCCCCAGGACGGGATGCACAGACCCAGGGGCTCTCCCAGCCCCTTCAGGTTGGGGTGCACAGACCCAGGTTGTCCCCAGGGTGGGGTTTCAAGACCCAGGAGATCCCCCCATGATACCCCCAGACCAGCATGCACAGATCCAGGAGCCCCCCAGGATCCCCCTCAGGATGGGATTCACAGACCCAGGAGCCCCCCAGGATCCCCAGGATGGGATTCACAGACCCAGGACCCCCTCAGGATGGGATGCACAGACTCAGGAGCCCCCCAGGATCCCCCTCAGGATGGGATTCACAGACCCAGGGCCCCCTCAGGATGGGATGCACAGATCCAGGAGCCCCCCAGGATCCCCCTCAGGATGGGATGCACAGACCCAGGAGCCCCCCAGGATCCCCAGGATGGGATTCACAGACCCAGGAGCCCCCCAGGATCCCCAGGATGGGATTCACAGACCCAGGAGCCCCCCAGGATCCCCAGGATGGGATTCACAGACCCAGGTGCCCCCCAGGATCCCCAGGATGGGATTCACAGACCCAGGAGCCCCCCAGGATCCCCAGGATGGGATTCACAGACCCAGGAGCCCCCTCAGGATGGGATGCACAAACCCAGGTCCCCCTTAGGATGGGATGCCCAGACCCAGAGGCCCCCAGCTTCCCCCCAGAACAGGACACAGCCCCAGGGGATCTCCTGGCCCCCCCAGGGTGGGATTCACAGGCCCAGGAGCCCCCCAGAACAGGACACACAGCCCCAGGGGGTCTCCCAGCCCCTCCAGGGTGGGGTGCACAGCCCCAGGAGACCTCCCAGCCCCTCCAGGGACAGGACACACAGCCCCAGGGGGTCTCCCAGCCCCTCCAGGGTGGGGTGCACAGCCCCAGGGCCCCCCAGGGCCCCCCCAGGAGGACTCACTGACGATCTTGTCGACCGAGTCGTGGTCGTCGAAGGTGACGAAGGCGAAGCCGCGCTTTTTGCCGCTGCCGCGGTCGGTCATGATCTCGATGACCTCGATCTTGCCGTACTGCCCGAAATAGTCCCGCAGGTGATGCTCCTCCGTGTCCTCCTTGATGCCCCCCACGAAGATCTTCTTCACCGTCAGGTGGGCGCCGGGCCGCTGGGAGTCCTGGGAGGGGGCAAAAATCAGGGAATGGGGCGGGCGGGAAAGCTCGGAGGACACCCCGGAACCGTGGGGGGCACCGGGGCTTTGGGAGGTGCCACGGGGATTTTAGTGACCTCAGGATTTTAGGGACCCCCTGGACATGTCCCCAAGGGCCACAGGGATTTTGAGGGCCTCAGGATTTTAGGGACATCCTGGATATGTCCCCAAGGGCCACAGGGATTTTTGGTGACCCCAGGGAACACCAGGGTTTCGGCAGCCCCTGAGAACGTCGAGGTTTTGGGGATCCCAGACCATGGGATTTTGGGGACCCCATACTGTGTCCTCCAGGGGCCACCAGGGCTTTGGTGACCTCAGAGGCCACCAGAGATTTTGGTGACCCCCAGGAGGTGTCCCCAAGAGCCTTCCTCCACTGGGGTCTGAGCCCCCCCAGAAGCTCTGTGTCCCTCTCCATTGGGGTCCCACACTCCTCCCTAAGGCCCCAGCCCCCTGTACCTCTCTGAGCCCCCTAATGGGGTCTGGGCCCCCCAGCCCCTCACCTCTCAGTGTGCCCTTCCATCTCAGGGTCCCACACTCCCCCCACCCCCCAGCCCCTCTCTGGGTCCCCCTATTGGGATCTGAGCCCCCCCCAAGGGGTCTGGGCCCCCCCAGCCCCTCACCTCTCAGTGTCCCCTTCCATCCCAGGCTCCCCCACTCCCCCCACCCCCCTGAACCTCCCAGTGCCCCACACTCCCCTCCCAGAGCCCCCAGCCCCTCTCTGAGCCCCTCACCTCTCTGGACACGGCCCTCTTGGGCTCCACGACCCTCCCGTCCACCTTGTGCGGCCGCGCGTTCATGGCGGCGTCCACCTCCTCCACCGAGGAGTACGTGACGAACCCGAACCCCCGCGAGCGCTTCGTGTTGGGGTCCCGCATCACCTGGGACAGGACAGGACAGTCAGGGGACAGGGACAGGCAGGGGATAGGGACAGGCAGGGCACAGGGACAGGCAGGGCACAGTGTTGGCCTCCTCCACCGAGGAGTACGTGACGAACCCGAACCCCCGCGAGCGCTTCGTGTTGGGGTCCCGCATCACCTGGGACAGGGACAGGACAGTCAGGGGACAGGACAGGGACAGTCAGGGGACAGGGAACAGGACAGGGACAGTCAGGGCACAGGAGACAAGGACAGGACAGGGATAGTCAGGGGACAAGGGACAGGACAGGAACACAATAAAACCCTGCGAGCGCTTCATGTTCAGGGCCTGCATCACCTGGGACAGGGACAGTCGGGGGACAGGGGACAAGGACAGGACAGGGGACAGGACAGGGACAGTCAGGGGACAAGGAACAGGACAGGGACAGTCAGGGGACAGGACAGGGACAGTCAGGGGACAAGGAACAGGACAGGGACACGATAAAACCCTGCGAGTGCTTCATGTTCGGGTCCCGCGTCACCTGGGGGACAGCACGGTTGGGGACAGGACACAGGACAGGGACAGGACACAGGACAGGGACAGGACATGGGACAGGGACAGGGACAGGACACAGGACAGGGACAGGACATGGGACAGGACATGGGACAGGGACAGGACAGGGACAGTGAGGGGACAGAAACAGGGGAGGGGACAAGGACAAGACCCCGCGAGCACTTTGTGTGCGGGCTCTGCATCCCCTGGGGGGACAGGGAGGGGACAGGGGGGTCAGGGGTCTCACCACAGTCCACCAGAGTCCCCCACTGCTCCAGTGGCTCCATCAGGGTTCCTGGGGGGTTTGGGGTGGGTTTGGGGGTCCCAGGGGGGTCAGGGTCTCACCACACAGTCCGTCAGGGTCCCTGGTGGGTTTGGGGTGGTTTGGGGGTCCAGGGGGTCAGGGTCTCACCACACAGTCCATCAGGGTCCCTGGTGGGTTTGGGGGTCCCAGGGGGGTCAGGGGTCTCACCACACAGTCCATCAGGGTCCCTGGTGGGTTTGGGGGGGGTTTTGGGGTCCCAGGGGGTCAGGGTCTCACAACACAGTCCGTCAGGGTCCCTGGTGGGTTTGGGGTGGGTTGTTGGGGGTTCACAAGGGGTCAGGGTCTCAACACACAGTCCGTCAGGGTCCCTGGTGGGTTTGTGGTGGGTTTTGGGGTCCCAGGGGGTCAGGGTCTCACCACACAGTCCGTCAGGGTCCCTGGTGGGTTTGGGGTGGGTTTTGGGGTCCCAGGGGGTCAGGATCTCACCACACAGTCCGTCAGGGTCCCTGGTGGGTTTGGGGGGGGGTTTTTGGGGTCCCCAGGGGGTCAGGGTCCTCACACCACACAGTCCCCTCAGGGGCCCTGGATGGGTTTGGGGGGCCCGGGGGTCAGGGGTCTCACCAACACAGTCCATCAGGGTCCCGGTGGGTTTGGGGGTGGGTTTTGGGGTCCCAGGGGGTCAGGATCTCACCACACAGTCCGTCAGGGTCCCTGGTGGGTTTGGGGTGGGTTTTGGGGTCCCAGGGGGTCAGGGTCTCACCACACAGTCCGTCAGGGTCCCCCACTGCTCGAAGTGGCTCCTCAGGCTCTCGTCTGTGGTTTCAAAGCTGAGGCCGCCGATGAAAAGCTTCCGGAGCTGCTCCGGCTCCTTCGGGGACTGGGAGGACACAGGGGGGTCACGGGGGGGTCACAGGGGGCCTGGACCCCCCTGAACCATCCCCTGGACACACTCTGACCCCCCAGAGCTCTGACGTGGGATCTCTGGGACCCCCAAAGCTCCAGGGAGTCTCCAAAACCCCAAACTGTTCCCCTGGGACCCCCAAAGCTCCAGGGAGTCTCCAAAACCCCAAACTGTTCCCCTGGGACCCCCAAAGCTCCAGGGAGTCTCCAAAACCCCAAACTGCTCCCCTGGGACCCCAAAAGCTCCAGGGAGTCTCCAAAACCCCAAACTGCTCCCCTGGGACCCTAAAAGCTCCAGGGAGTCTCCAAAACCCCAAACTGCTCCCCTGGGACCCCAAAAGCTCTAGGGAGTCTCCAAAACCCCAAACTGCTCCCCTGGGACCCCAAAAGCTCCACGGAGTCCCTGACACCTCCAAACACCCCCCTGGTCCCTGAGACCCCACAGCCTCCATTTTGGGGGCCCACCAGACCCTCAGCCCCCCCTGCCCCATTCCAGGAGGTCTCTCCTAACCCCAACGAGACCCCTGAGCCCCCCCAGGCCCCCCTGTTTTTGAGTCCCCCAGGCCCCTGAGCTCCTCTAGCCCCTTAAGTCCCCCCAACCCCCTCTTTTAGGGCCCCCCAGGTCCTCCTGCCCCTATTTTTGGGCTCCACCACCTCCTTATTCCATCCAGGCTCTCAAGCCCCTATTTTTGGGGCCCATCACCCGCTTGAACCCTCCCACCCCTATTTTAGGGCCCTCCACCCCCTCAGGCCCCTCCAGTCCCCAAGACCCTCTTTTTGGAACCCCCAGCCCCCATTAAAGGGCCAAACACCCCCTCAACCCCCCCAGCCCCTATTTTAGGGCCCAGCACCCCCTCAAGCCCCCAAGGCTCTCTTGAAGCCCCCCAGCCCCTGTTTTAGGGCCAGTCACCCCTTGACCCTCCCAGCTCCTATTTAAGGCCTTTCAAGTCCCCCAGCCCCTATTTCAGAGCCCTTCACTCCTCAACCCCCCCCAGCCCCTATTTCAGAGCCCCCCCCCATTTTAGGGCCAGTCACCCCCATGACCCCCCCTAGTCCCTATTTTAGGCCCCTCAGGCCCCCCAGCCCACAACTCCCCCCCCAAGCCCCTACTTTAACGCCAACCACCCCCTTATCCCCCCCCTCGCTATTTCAGAGCCCCCCACCCTTTTTAACCCCCCCCACCCCGACACAAAGAGAACGCGCACGTGGCCCTCGGGGGCGCGCGAGGGGGGGTCTCTATCTCTTGGGGGGGGTCTCCCCGCGCATGCGCCTCGTGGGCGATCCCCCCCCTCCCCATTCATCCCCCCCTCCCCTCAGACACCCCCCCCTACCCCACACACGACGGCGCCTGCGCAGTGAGGCCGCTCCGGGCGCTGGCGCATGCGCGCTGCGCGCGCGCGCGGGGCCCGCGCGGCCGCCTCTGAGGGGGGGAAAAAGGGCGGAGGGGGAAAAGGGCGAAGGGGGGGGGAAGGAGGAGGATGGCGAGGGGGAGGAAAAAAACCACCCCCTCCCCCCTCAAAAAAAAAAAAAAAAAAAACAAGCGCGGCGGCGGCGAGAGAAAAGAAAAGACGAACAATAAAAGCAGCGCTGGCTCACCTCGGCCTTGGCCATGGCGGCGGCTCCGGGGGGAAAGGAAGGGGGGGGAAAAGGCGGTGGCGGCGGCGGCGGCGGCGGCGCTCGCGCGATGCTCTCTCCGCGAGGGCCGACACGGCAAAGGGGCCGAGCGGGGGCAGCGCCGCCGCCTCACTCGGCCGCCCCCGCCACACGCCCCGCCCACTGCGCCCGCTCCTATTGGCCGACGCCGCGAACCGCCTCGGCCCGATTGGCCGCCGAGAGGTGCCGCGCACGCCGGTTGGCCGACGGGATTTAAGTCCCGCCCACGCCGCGCGCTGATAGGGTGAGAGGTTGGCGGGCACGCCCCCCGCTAGTTTTCCCGCTCCGGCCCGGAGACTCCACTCCGGGGGCGTTGATTGGTTGGCTCGGCGGAGGGCCCGCCCCGCGCGCGGCGCTGATTGGGTGAGGGCGAGGTGGCGCGGCGCCGATTGGAGGAGAGGGGCGTCGATCTGCGCGCGCCGGCGGCGGGCCCAGCGCGGCTCCCGGAGCGCGGCGGGAGCAGCAGCGGCGGCGGCGGCCGCGAGTCCCCCGGCGGCGGCGGCGAGGAGGGGCCGCCCGCCCGCCGCTACAAGGTGCGCCTGGGTCAGCGCGCGCGCCGGCGCGGTGGGTTGGGCAGTGCGTGTGTGGTGGGGGGGGAAATGGTGGTGGTACGCATGCGCGGGAGAGCGGCCCGGCGGCGCCTGCGCGCTGCGGGCGGTTTTTGGCGGGCGGAGCGCGGAGAGCGGCGGCGGCTCCTCTCGGAGGGGCGGCCAGACCGCGGCGGACGGGCCCGCGCCGGAGCCGCTCCCCGCGCAGGTACCGGCGGCGGCGGCGGCGGGTGAATGGGCGGCAGCGCGGGGGGGCGGGCCCCGGCGCGCTGAGCGACTGGCGCGTCGACCAATAGCGGCGCGGCGCCGCGCTGAGTGACGCGTGCGCTAGCCAATGGCGGCGGGCTGAAGGCGGAGCCGCATACTGAGTGACGGCCTCTCCGGCAAATAGCGGCGGAGTGGGGGCGGGGCGGCACGCGGAGTGACAGCTGCACTGCTCAATAGCGGCGCGGCGTGGCTGTGGCGAGCGGCAGGGCGCTCGGCCAATCAGCGCGCGGGCGCGCGGCGGCGCTGGCCAATGGCGGGCGGGGGCGCGCTCATGGCCCCGCCCCCTCTCTCAGACCCCCTCCCCGCCCCCCCCCACTTTTATACCCCTCAAACCGCCGCTTTTTGCCCCAAAGCAGCGGGGTTTTCCCTCATAAAAGCGGCTTTTCCCTCAAAGCAGCGTTTTGCTACCCCAAACCGTCTGATTCTGCCCGAAACCGGCATTTTTTTCGCTCAAACCGGTTGATTTTACCTCAGAACTGATTTTTCCTCTCAAAACACCTGATTTTTACCCCAAACCGGCGGTTTTTCGCCTCAAAGCGATGTGTTCTGCCTCAGAACTTATCTCTTTGCCTCACAGAGCGGTTTTGCCTCAAAACAGCGGTTTTCTGCCCCAAATCGGCAGTTTTTCGCCTCAGACCGGCGGGTTTCGCCTCAGAGCTGCCTTTTTTCGCCTCAAACCCGCCTTTTTTTGCCTCGGAGCCGCCGGTTTTTGGCCTCCAAGCGGCGCTTTTGGGCTCGGAGCGGCTCCTTCCCTTTGTTCCCTCAGGATTCCCGGGCGCGGGATCCGGGATGAGCCGCCCGGGGCCCTTCCCGCCCAAACCCCGCCCTTGTACACCCAAAATCCACCTTTTATGCACAAAATCCGCCTTTTTACATCCGAAATCCTCTTTTCACACCCATATCTGCCTTTTACCTCTAAAACTGCCCCTTTCTACGCACCAAATCTGCCTTTTTACTCCCAAAACTGCGCCTTTTTAGACCCAAAATCCGCCCTTTTACGCCCTAAACTGTGTCTTTTGCACCCAAAATCCACCTTTTTACACCCAAAACTTCCCTTTTTACATCCAAAATTCCCCTTTTTACACCTCGAATCTGCCTTTTTATGCCCTAAACTGCACCTTTTCCACCCAAAATCCGCCCTCTTTCACCCAAAATCTGCCTCCTCCACACGCAAAATGTATCTTTATACACTTAAAATCTGTCCTTTTACATCCAGAATCCGCCTTTACACACCCAAAACTGCCCCTTTCACCCCCAAAATCTGCCTTTTTATCTCCAAAACTACCCCCTTTCCACTCAAAATCTTCCCTTTTCTGCCCAAACCTGCCCCCTTTGCTCCCAAAACTGCCCTTTTTACCCCCTAAATCTGCCTTTGTTTTCCCCGTTCCCCAGTCCCCCCATTTGGGGTCCCAGGTGCCCATTTGGGGTCCTCTTGGCCCAGGTACCCCCTGTGCCCCCAGGAGCCCCCAGTCCCCTGGTTTGGGGTCTCAGGTGCCCCATTTGGGACCCCAGGAGCCCCCAATCCCCCATTTGGGGTCCCAAGTGGCTGTTTGGGGTCCCAGGTGCCCCAGTTTTGGGATCCCCATGGCCCAGGTGCTCCCATGCCCCAGGAGCCCCCAGTCCCCCCATTTGGGGTCCCAGGTGCCCCGTTAGTGTCTCAGGTGCCCATTTGGGACCCCAGGACCCCCCAGGACCCTGTTTGGGGTCCCAGGTGCCCCTGTTTTGGGGTGCCCCTGTCCCAGGTGCCCCTGTGCCCGCAGCAGCCCTGTTTGGGGTCCCGGGTGCCCCTGTTTTAGGGTGCCCCTGTCCCAGGTGCCCCTGTGCCCGCAGGAGCCCTGTTTGGGGTCCCGGGTGCCCCTGTTTTGGGGTGCCCCTGTCCCAGGTGCCCCTGTGCCCGACAGATCCCTGTTTGGGGTCCCCAGTGCCCCTGTGTTGGGGTGCCCCTGTCCGGTGCCCCGTGCCCGCAGGAGCCCGGTTTGGGGTCCCGGGTGCCCCTGTTTTGGGGTGCCCCTGTCCCAGGTGCCCCTGTGCCCGCAGGAGCCCTGTTTGGGGTCCCGGGTGCCCCTGTTTTGGGGTGCCCGTAGCCCAGGTGCCCCTGTGCCCGCAGGAGCCCTGTTTGGGGTCCCGGGTGCCCCTGTTTTGGGGTGCCCCTGTCTCAGGTGCCCCTGTGCCCGCAGGAGCCGCGGGCGCTGCGCTATGGGCAGGAGGAGCCGGCGGGCAGCCGACAGCTCGTCCTCGGGAGACGAGGAGGAATATGTGGTGGAGAAGGTGCTGGATCGGCGCGTGGTGAGGGGCCAGGCCGAGTACCTGCTCAAGTGGAAGGGCTTCTCCGAGTGAGTGACGCTGGGGACACACCTGGGGACATGGGGACACACCTGGGGACACACCTGGGGACACACCTGGGGACATGGGGACAGCAAGGGATGTGGGGGACACAGCACCGGGGTGGGGGGCCAGGCCGAGTGCCTGCTCAAGTGGAAGGGCCTCTCTGAGTGAGTGACACTGGGGACATGGGGACACCCCTGGGGACTTGGGGACACACCTGGGGACAGGGGTGAGGACACTGTGGGGACCCAGCGTGTGACAGGGACACGGCACCTGGGGACATGGGATGGGAGGAGGGACAGTGTGAGGACCCCAGTGTGTGATGGGGACACAACTCCTGGGTGGGGGGACACTGAGGTGACCCTGCCCTGTGCCAGGGGACATGGGGGCACCACAGTAATCCCAGTGTGTGCCAGGGGACACTGGGTGGGGGACGCAGGGACCCCAGTGTGTGACAGGACAGTGGGTGGGGGGACACAGGGAGTGTGCCAGGGGATATGGGGACACCACAGTGACCCCAGTGTGTGATGGGGACACAACTCCTGGGTGGGGGGACACTGAGGTGACCCTGCCCTGTGCCAGGGGACACAGAGACACCACAGTGACCCCAGTGTGTGCCAGGGGACACAGGGACACCACGGTGACCCCAGTGTGTGCCAGGGGACACAGGGACACCACGGTGACCCCAGTGTGTGCCTAGGGACACTGAGTGGGGGACACAGGGACCCCAGTGTGTGACAGGGGACATGGGGACACCACAGTGACCCCAGTGTGTGCCAGGGGACACAACTCCTGGCTGGGGGAACACTGAGGTGACCCTGCTCTGTGCCAGGGGACATGGGGACACCACAGTGATCCCAGTGTGTGCCAGGGGACACAGAGACACCACAGTGACCCCAGTGTGTGCCAGGGACACAGGGACACCACAGTGACCCCAATATGTGCCAGGGGACACAGAGACACCACAGTGACCCCAGTGTGTGATGGGGACACCACAGTGACCCCAGTGTGTGACGGGGACACAACTCCCAGGTGGGGGGCACTGAGGTGACCCCAGCGTGTGCCAGGGGACATGGGGACACCACAGTGACCCCAATATGTGCCAGGGGACATGGGGACACTGAGGTGACCCCAGTGTGTGCCAGGGGACATGGGGACACTGAGGTGACCCTGCCCTGTGCCAGGGGCCCCTGGGTGGGGGACACGGGGATACAGTGCCCCTGGGTGACCCCAGTGTGTGCCAGGGGACACACCTCCCAAGCGAGGGGACACTGAGGTGGCCCTGCCCTGTGCCAGGGGACACGGGGACACCATGGTGACCCCAGTGTGTGCCAGGGACACCACAGTGACCCCAGTGTGTGATGGGGACACAGCTCCCAGGTGGGGGGCACTGAGGTGACCCCAGTGTGTGCCAGGGGACACTGAGGTGACCCTGCCCTGTGCCAGGGGGCACGGGGACACTGAGGTGACCCTGCCCTGTGCCAGGGGGCACGGGGACACTGAGGTGG